AAAAAAAGTTGCCTAAAAATTCTCTACATTTCTAAAAGTATGAAAACTACGTGTTATTTTTTCTGACTTGAAAGAGTACTTGACCTCCAGAGGTCATATAGGTTATAGCCTAGGTGTTTAGTTAGTTGTTTTTAAGGAGTAAGTGAAAACTAGTGCTTTCTCCCTTTTTTGCGCTCTCTTTTTTTTCATTCCCAATAAACCGCAGTGAGAAAAGTGAGAGAGACAAAGGGGGAGAGGCCTTGTGTCAGAGCGCATAAATAACTGTCGACGTGATGTAAACACAGCGGTCATAACCCGAGCAAATTAAAACAACTGGTCTGGGCGGGATTAAAGCAGGTTTTCTACGTCTAAAAAAAAAAAAAAAAAAAACTCCAGCGTCCGCTGACCTCCAGCGACTCCCTTCTGATTGGCCGAATGCTAATTAGTCAATCCAATCACCGCATGCGCGTGAGTTGATAAGGCAAAATGCAATTAAGCTAACGAAAAACGACGATGGCTGCTCATATTTTAGCGGTGTAGCTTCATAAATAAGATAATAAACTGTTATTAAACAGCCCTGACAGTTAGGTTAAAATAATTTAAAAAAAAGTAAAAGTCAGTGACAACAATGATACTTCTCAAACTGGCACCCGGTTTATTTACCTTTCTTGCATTTACCCTATCAGCAAAGTTAGCAACGAGATAAACGTGATTTGGCCTATTTGGCCTGTTTACGCCACAAGAAGAGTAACTCCTTTATAACGCCCACATAATCTACCAAGGCAAACGTTTGTTTATGTAACGACAGCTTTGTCCACTGTTATCTTTCAGACACAACAGAGGGAGACTCGGGCTATCTGTACCTACGCTTTGTTGGTGGGCAGGGTCTGCTATTCTGAAGGGATGGAGCGATAAGGCGGGTTGCCAGGTCAAACTATTGGCCCACACAAGAAAAAAATAATAAGGACTGATTACACAGAGTGTAAAAGTGGTACAAATATATTTCATATACTTCATGTAATCTGTACAACAATTTGAGCAGGTTTCATGTGCCTTATCCAGCCATCCATCAAATCATCCATCCATCATAAGACAATCGCAAAACACAGGCCTGCATCAGTAAAAACGCATCTGCAGATTATTACTGTTTGTTGGAAAAAAAGGAAAAAAAAAAAAGAAGAAAGAAAAAGAAAACGAAAAAAAGCTATTTAAAGTACAAAGTTTATCTTTGAACCAGCAAAGATAAAAGATCACAATGCATTTAAATAAACGATTTTTTTTTCTTTACGGGAACGAAGGAGAGTGGGATGCCCTCCCGTTATTCCCACTCAAAGTCTGCAGAGATGAGACTTGCATTTCAGTCACTATAGGATTTTTTTTTCATTGTTCCTTTAAAAAGGCAAAGAGCTGCTGCCACTGAGCTGCATCAAGACGCCGTAGTTCCGCACAACCTCGTTGAGTTCAGCATCTCCTTCAAATCGTTCTCCGGTTTACCTGCAACCATGAAAGGCCACGTCTGCGGAGGAAAACGCAACCAGTTAGAGCGTGCACTGTCAAAGAGTTTAGACTAAATCAAACCTAAATTCAAAGCCAGTATGCGTGGAATCACCTTAAACCACTAGGTAAACATAATAAAAACATCATTCATTTGGAGCAAACACTCTCACTTAGTGCTCTCGGGTGTTAGTAAAACAAACATTTTAGTCACAAAGGCCACAATATAAAGCTTTAACGTGGAACATTTAACGTTTTCTGGCTCCAATATTCATATTTAATTAAGTTCAGTTCTAGCGTTTGATAAATCATTTTGAATTGCAATCCGTTTTTTTCTCAATTTGCTCCGAAAAGTTATTTTAAAAAAATTACATCATTGCAACATTAATTTCACCTGTCTCCCCAACGAATCCCTGCCGGCACTGACGGCCTAACGATGAAATTATTTCCAATTGCACTTCTTGGTCTGCAGCCTACAGGGATTGTAAACTGTCGGGTATTTATTACGCTTGCACGAGGCTGGCTGTTTGCTTGTTTGTTTTTTACCTCCCTCGTGCACCTGCCTAGTTGAGCGATCGCCCTCCTTTGTCACTTTACTGAGTAATTGAGGTCTATAATTTGGCCTTTGCAGGCCACGTTAAAATAATGAAACAACATTGGATTTTGATTAAAAGTGATTCAGGTATTTCACTACATTATTATATTAAAACTCCAAATTGGAAGTGTGGAAATTTGGGGAGCAAAAAGGTACAAGCCCCTTAAGCCCATTCTCACCAGGTTAACAGGGTGGATATATCCATTTTCGTATTTGTCGTTGGCCAGTATCTGTCGGAGGTGCGCTATGTAGCTAGACGCCAGGCGCAGTGTGTCCAGTTTGGAGAGCTTGGTATCCGGTGGTACCCAGGGTAAGGAGGTCTTAAGCCGGGAGAAGGCTTTGGACAGGACTCTCATCCTGGCTCTTTCCCGGGCGTTGGCCGCGTTCCTCTGCACCTGCTTGCCCTCCTGTTGTGCCACACCCTTGGGCGCCGTTTTCCTGGACGTTGTCTTCCGTTTTTTGCCGGGCGTTTCTCTCCGTTCCTCGTTTGCGCATGAGCCCTCGCAGTTTGAGCTCTCCTCCGTGCTCTCGTTGGAATCTTTACCGGAGGAACCAAACTTCAGGATGCCGTCCAGGAGCTCGTCGTCGACATCGCTGAGAGACCCGGTGGACATATTAGTACCGTATTCCCACTGAAGCGGGCTCAAAACATGGGAGCAGAATTCTTCGGCTGGACACGATTGAACAGGATGTGCGCTGGATGTTCATGAACAACTAACTGTGCAGAAAGGAACAGACTTTTTTATCTTTGTGACCAGAGAGGGCGTTACCACATGCAGGGAGGAGACAGCGGTACTGATCTTTCTTGCTGGCTCCCCAAAGGTTTCGAGGATCCCAAGGGACCCTGGATGAGCCCAAGATGTAGGACATGTGTTTTATTTTAATTACTGTTCAACCGGAACATGTGATTTCCTCATAAAAAAAGAGAGACAGGTGCATTTATACATAGAATTTCTTTCTTTCTTTCTTGAACCTTTTGTCATAATTACTGAAAAATTACATTGGCAACTACATGCATGGCCCACCAATCAGTTCTGTACATCTACTGTATTTTAAGTTAACCTTTGTCTTGCTTGAGACCTCCAAATTATGTAGTTACAGTGATCATAGCACACAACTGCACTCCTTAAACTATGCAGCCTGAAGTAGGGTTCACAATAAAGTGATTAATAAAAAATATTTTTTAACGCATTAGTTGCAACATGAATAAAGACGTGCATTCTTAGAAACTGGAAATGAACTAACCATTAGCAAAATACAAATGTAATCTGTGTAGTAATATGTTGTCTCTTAATTACAAGAAAAGGTAGTCTTTTTATTTTTTATTTCATTGAATAATGAATTAGGAAATTAGATTTGTGCAAAATAATTGCAATCCAGCTCCAAAAGGATCACAGTTTAGCCAGTTCCGCTCACAGTGTCCACAAAACTTTCAGCGCATCTTGCCAGTTAACAGAATAAAGTGCAAGGACAGTGGGTGTGGGGTTTTTGGAGTGGTGTCACGTCTCAAATGGCAAACTGGCGCCTCAGTCCCCTCTGATGTAATAGATACCTGGCACCCACAATCCCCTGTTTGGCCTTCCACATCATTCCACACTGATGCTCCATGCACTGGCCCACTCAGGCCCAAGTCCAAACAACAGAGGTCTCTGGAGCTCCGGTGGGGTACATTACTGATAATCCCATGCTTCCTGTTCACTTGCTTTTTTTGTTTAAACTGTTCATCATTACACTGAAATATGACGAGTTTGCATGAAGCTTCAGGTCTTTCCTCCTGGGATGCGGGATTGTGTTTGTGGGTTTGTGTTTGTGTGAGCAGATCCGTTGGCTACACAGCTGAAGTGTGCAAGGAAAACAGGTGTGTCTCCTGAGAGCTGACCTTTAGCCCCATAGCTTCTGGTGTCACAGTGCATCCAAACGGGTATTATCTAATTTATCAATAAGAAACACACAGTAAAATCCTTCCATTTTGGCTGGGCTGCACTTCTTCAAGTGGAAAAGCCGTAAAAAGGATAGAGGAAGAACAAAGCTTTTTGGGAAGAAATACAGGGCAGATGTAAGGAAATGAGTAAGAAAGTAGAGCAAAGAAAAAAAAGATAAGTGGGGGGAAAGGAGGGAGAGGGAAGAGAGTAAGAAGGGGGTTTAATCTTCTGGGTGGGCTGGAAATCAAAGCACTTAGTTGAAAAGTAATAATAGAGTCTGTTAGATTGATGATCACCTCTGAGATACATGGATCCACCAGAGAGAAACAGAGTGCGAGAGAGAGGGAAAGGGAGTCGAACAAAAATAGCTCACGAAAACCTTTTTTTCTCTGTCCCGTGTGTCGATAAAACACAGGCCCTGATGTAACACTGTCATAAATATAATTTGTACTCTTACTTAAATTCACATATGACCTATAAGGCAGAGAAACCCCATGTGGTGAGTGGGCATTCCGTTCTTCTTAATAATAATAACAAATAAAGGTCCTGTAAGTGTTTAGGAGAGCCTTTCAGTGAGCATTTTGCCCTCTCAGAGCCTCACTCATACTCACAGTGACATGAGGCAACAGGTGGAGAGGGGGCAGTGAGAAAGATGGAAAGAGAAAAAAAAAGTGGGGACCCAGGCACTTATGGAGGGACATGCTGCTAATTAGCCGGTTTGGGGCCAAAGGTTAGGCTGGTTGTGTGATGTCACCAGGCAGGGACGGGTTCCAGATGTTGTTCCCAGGGCCACCGAGGGGGACATCTGATCCTGTGTGTCATTATCATCTGTCTCTCTCTCTCCTCATGCACAAGAACACCTCTGTTACATGTTTAAGACAACAGTGTGTTAAAAAAAAAAACAGCAAATGCTAAAAATGTCATTTGAAAATTATAAAAAAGAAACAGAAGAAAATGCAATGACCAAGACAATCAGTGTTTTGACTTAATTAACAGAATATGTAGGTGGAAATGAAAATCCATGATATCCCTGTCTTTGTTTTTACAGGGCAAAGTATAACTGCACAATATGCTGAGCACTTGGTGACAGTGGGAAGGAAAAACTCCTTTTTAACAGGAAGGTGCAGCCATCTGCTGTCACCAGATGAGGGTGAGGGGAGAAACACAGGAAGAGACACACTGTTGAAGAGAGCCAGAGATTAATAATAGTTAATGACTGAATTCAAAGTGGTTTATAAACACATGGAGGTGAGTGAAGAAGAAGCTGTTTCAGAGTCTCACGGCCTTCCACACCACTGTGCTACCCCACCCATACGTAACTGAACCCTCATTGAGAGACTACACAAGCCATCATGTTCATATACTATGATGTCTACACTTTTTGTCATAGAAGTTGCCTCTGGAAAGCACAAGTTTTATTCATGGTGTGCATGTAAAGATATGTTCGTGCACCATGACATTGTGCTTCCCCCCCTTGAGGCAGCAGTTTATCTAACACTGCTGCAAGTGTTAATCAAACATGATGAAATAGGTTTTATTTCAGTGTCATTTTGTCTGGCACAAAGTCAAGACAGATGGTTTAGAGGAAAATGCACTGCAAGCTATAGGATTAACCTGACGTTATCAGTATTTCACGGCATCAGACAAATTTATCGTTTACTGAAAAAGAGTCTGATGTCATTATTGCTTGATTAGCGTCTATGCAGTGACATGAAGTTATCAGTGAGCAATGACAATAGAGATTATTTTTTTCACCTCATTTCAGTTTTTTTTTACAGAGCAAAGATGAATAAGTGTGGCTTTAGTTTCACTAAAACATGTATCTCTTTTGATTTCTTTACTGAGGTTTCAAACCTTGTGTGTGTTTCCTTAAAAAGGCAAAAAACCTTAAGGGACGGTATGTTGCTGCAAAACAATTGACAAATGAAATCGAAAGGAATCGTGGAATAAAGCAAAAACACTGTTGTGTTTACAGTCCATGCTCATGTTTTTGTGACTCAAAGGGGCTGAATTTAAAAAAAAATGAAACTAGCTGGTTGATATAGCTGTAAGGGGAGAAACTATAACTCTGGAGTGAGGCTTAGGGCGAGAAAAACATCATCCATCTAAGTCTTAGCACACCAGTTCCCTGTCCCTTATCACAGCTATACTCCCACAAAACACACACACACCACACACATGCATATGCACCTCAGTTCAAGCGTTCCTAAAAAAGAAAATCAAAGAAAAATAATTAAATGAGAGGTTGCAGAGAGTGCAAAGATACAGCGGGGAGAGGAGAAAGCAGGGCAAAAGGATGTTGTGGACAAACTGAGCAATAAGAGAGAATTATGAACATGCTTATGGGAGTGGAAATATCATATTATATTTCAACAAGACAAGACTGCAATCCTTTGATAATCAGTGACAGGAACATCCGGGGGAAGGAAAACAGTGATTTTCTAGAATAAGACTGATATTCTGTCACAGTGTAGGTTAATGACCTGGAAGTCTTGTCCTTACAGTGTGAGGGAGCTGGACTGTAATGGTCTCTGGTATGCAAGTACACTTATCTGTACAAGTGTGTGCATCTGTGGTAAATGGCTTCACAAACAAATGGAAATGGATATGAAGAAAATGAGCGATATCTTGGAGAATTGTGGAATCAGTGAAGTTAAAAATAAATCATTGTCCACTTTATCCGTGTTAAAGTGCAGTGAAAAAGTATTTGTCCGCATCCAGATTTCTTCGCATATTTGTTACACTTAAATGTTTCAGATCATCAAACAAATTTTAATATTGGATATAGGAAATTTAATAAATACAGAGTGCATTTTTTAAAATTAAGATTTCATTCACTAAGAAAAAAAAACCCCTGTACAAACCTACCTGGCCCTATTTGAAATAGTGATTTTCCCCTAAACCTAATAACTGGTTGTGCCGCCCTTTGGCAGCAAGAACTGCAAACAAACTGGGATAACTGGCAATGAGTCTTTAGCATCACTGTGCAGGAATTTTGACGCATTCTTTGAGAGTTGTTTTAATTCAGAGGGTTTTTGAGCATGAATTGCTGTAAAGTCATAACAAAGCATCTCAATAAGATTTAAGTCCGGCATTAACTAGGCCATTCCAAATTTTGTCTTATTTTAACTATTCAGACACTCACTGAAAATGCAAATGGAAATTCGTTTACCAGCAAAAATTATTATATGAGACTTTACTTACAAGGAAAGATCTTCTGGTTTCTGAAAAGTTGAGTATGTGGTTAAAAGGAAACCCAACCCTAACTCTAACTGTAGTCCTATCCCTAGACAGAGGTCATGTGAGACCCGCTGGATGCTTAAAGGTTAAGGATAGCACCTGAATCTTGTGACTGATGATGGACATATCCAGTGTGAGTACAGCATCATTTGTTAACATATTATATGTAAAATAATAAAATCTTTCAGCCTTGAGATAGCTGAAATAGGTGAGTTTAAAAAACAAAAGTACCTGAAACAAACTTGTGGATTTAAAGCAAAATTTAATTCAATCTGGTGATTTTGGACAATATCGTGTTCCTGTCTTGAAAGTTGCGTTGCGTGCAGCAGGTTAAGGATAAAAGAACAAGTCGTGTTAGAGTTGGACAGACGGAGGTCGATAACAAAAAAAACCTTTTGATAGAAGCACAAACAGATGTGAGTAAGAAGCTGCAGAGTTCAAAGAAAATCACAATTTTGCATAGGGACTGTTTCACAGGCTGTAAGTGAAATGGGAAACAGAGTGATTTCTCTACCCTGGAAACATCTACACATAGTTAATAAAAATGTTGCATCTTTAACTTC